TATTACTTTTTATAATAAGTCTCATGAATCAATTCATTTTTAAATCAAATAGTCTTACCTTCAAGTGACTTATAGATTCCTTAAATACCTTAAATTGAAGTCCCATAAGAGGAACTATACAAAAAGCAAGAGGCAGACTATGCAGGATCATCAGTGGATAGAAGATCCACATTAGGGCACTATTCATTCTTAAGAGAAAATTTTATAACATGGCGGAGCAAGAAACAATGGCTTATTTCCAGATCGAAAACTGAATGTGAATTTTGAGAATTTGCCAAAGGAATATGGTGTGGGTGAGAATCATTTGGAATATTTAAAATCAAGTGGGAAGAGCCAATGAAGATACACGTTGTCAATTAATTTGCCATCGGCATTACTCATAACCTAGTACAACAAGATAGTATAAAGCATGTCGAGGTTGACATTTTATTTAAAAGAAATTGGAAAGTGGATTGATTTTCACTCCATGCGCACTAATATGAAATCAACTTGCTGATATATTCATCAAAGGACTCAACAATATTTTGTTCAAGAATATTGTAAACAAACTTGAAATGATAGATTTATATCAGCCAGTTTGAGGTGGAGTGTTAAAGACTGTGGTGGCTCACACCACTCCTTCGCCTACTTCATGCTTTCACCCAAATTTACCCTAGAGGAAGCGTAGGTCCCACTACACAGTCAATCATAGTTGTGATCTGTTGGCATACAGATTGAAGGGCTTAGCCATTGGATCAATCCATTTGCTCCTCTCTCTTCACCTAGTCATTGACCACCTCTTCTTTATTATTATTTATTTATTTTGTATGAATTACAATTACTTTTTTTTCATATATTATATCTTTGAGGGAGCATATAAATACCTCTAATTAATGTACAGAAACCGAGCAATAAAATTCAACATAATTTTTCATATTTCCATTTTTCTACAAATTGTTTTAGGAGATTCAACTATTAGAAATTAGACAAATTAGACCTTTCAAAGAATTCCCCTAGGTTATCTGTCTAGTTTAATGCTATCATTGATTTCCAATTGATGACGAGGGGATTGCATCTGGAATTCTTGTTAATGACTCCACTTCTATAGAACTATAGAAGTTGTTATTGGACCTCTTTTCTGGGCAAATGTCTACTTTGAGTTCGCATTGTCATTGTGCCCAAACCTTTTCCCAACGCAGGTAGCCCCAACAAGAATGGGTGTTAGTGTTTTCTCATCAAATAAATTAAACGAGGTAAAAATTCACAAGCATGAAGAAGTGGCGATAAGAATCTAAGGTTTCCTCACGAACGGTGAATGTATTTCAAAATATTACCTTTTTTTTTGTGCTCTTTCCTATTTTCTAGTGCAAAAATGTATGATGTTGTTATGTGATATTTTTTCATTTAACCAAAACTCATGAGGGCATGTGTTTCTTTCTTATCAATATGGTGCTTAGTATTTTGCCTCTAATCCCAAAATAACTATGTTGAAATTATTTAAAATCTTAATTAAATTAATTTTGTTTAAGTTTCATCTTTTTTTAGATTTGCACATCCATAGAAAAATTTATTAACTCGTTTAAAATATGTTTACATGCTTCATACTTTTATTTATAATCATAAAATGATGAAGATATTACATCCCCGGACTTGAAATATCGAAGAATTGTAAGTTGAATACCATAAAAATTTTAGAAAAGACCTGTGACAAAAGTTCATCATTTACTTCTAGAGCATCGTAAGGTGCTGAAGACATTTGTTTAGTCCCGATAAGCAAAAGACGACACAGGCAATCCCGATAACTAAGGAGTTGAAGTCCACTATAGTCTTAGGATCGTAAGGAAAGCTGTTGAAGCTAGCATCAATTAGAAAGAAAAAAGTGGTGAATCAAATGTCAAATAATTAGAATCTCATTTAGCACTTAACAAGTTTGAATGGAGAATGAGGATTACAAAATCTGATATTAAAAAGTACCGAAAAGGCTAATGACGATGTGTATTTTGTGTCACTTTGTGTGCTTGCAGAGATTGATTCATACTTTTTTTGTATTTTAATTTATTTTATTCAAAACCTTCCGATCCATGTGTTCATGCAGTATTGTTTCCCTTCATTGCTTTGTTTCCATGCATCCTAGCTATGAATCTGAATGGTTAAGAATATAGATTTTGAGCACATATTCTTTTTTTTTTTTAAGGCAAGAAATGACATTGCTATATTATATTTGACTTTTGGGTTTCGAAAAAGGAAAATATGAATTTGCTGCTAACTCAATTTAGACATAAATGTAAACGGTGCTGATATGATTGATTTGAAAAAACTAATAATTGTAGTGAGAAATAATGTGATGCAGGACTTAAGTGCCAAAATGATGTTAGAAAAGAATCTTGCACAATTTAATTTAGAGAACTTTATTAACTAAAATACTTGTAGTGTTTAAACGAGGAAATAAAACAAGAAAGATGTGAGATTAGGTTAGGCCAAGTCACACGGCTAGAGGTTAGGATCGCAAAATAATCAATGGTTCAAAACATAACATACATGAAAGATTTCCAACAAGAAATCCCTACACTAATAATGTGATTATTCATTATGAAAAGATCTCTCACTCAACTCTCTAAGTCAATAGGTTTTAGCGGAAGAACATTAACACTATCTTTATGAATCAAATAAGACTACAATTGAAAAACAAATAGGAAGATATAAGAGTTGGAGGAAGAGTTTACCCAAAGGAAAGAAGATAGGAAGCTCCGGTGTGGTCGTTTGGGTGTTTGAGAGAGAGTGGACAGCAGCAAACACCTCCTAGCTGCCTTTGGACAACACTTTGGTGATTTCTGGATGGTGGACAGCAAGCTAACTTGGGCTGGATTCTTTGGACAGCAAACGACACCCTCCGGACAGCACACGACGATCTCCCGGCCGGCTGGACTGCAGGGAGAAGTGCAAAACTTTTATGGAAAGCCACCAAATAATGTCCAGGAAATCTTGACAGCAATTTGGAAACCTAGAATTAGGGTTTAGGAGTTGTTTTAGGAGAGAGGAAGGGAAGGAGAAGGTGAGTGGAGCCGGCAATTAATAGGGGGGAGGGGAAAGAAGATTTCCAAAATAAAAAATAATTTCAGATTTTGGGTTTGGAGGGATTTAGGGTTATGTGATTTGAATTTCAAACAAGAAGGAAGAAAGGAAGGTAATCTTTAATGAGAGGTTTGATTGAGGTCTTTAGAGGGAGGGCATCTGACTCAGTTAAGAGAGAGAGATGGGGGGGGGGTTCGGCATGGTGAGGATGGTGGGGTAGGGCTTAGGTAAAGAGAATTAAATCTTGCCTTGATTAGGTTAGAAAAAAAAACAAAAAAAAAAAAAATCTTGCCTTGATTGGATTCTTAAATTAGGAAGAATTAATTTAAATCAAATCCCATTAGAAATTAAATGTATCTAATTTAAGTAACTTTCCTAATATAAGAATCCTAATTTAGGAAGCAAATTCAAATTAGTTTGAATTTTGAATTCAAATTTGCTACCAAATTAAAAGGGCTAAAATAGTAAGACTTTGAATGCAAGATGAAATTTGTGGAGCCAAGGAAAGTGGACGAGGTGGCCGGCGGCTATGTGGGGATTAGGGTTACGTTTTGGTTTTGATGTGGGGTTTTGTTTGCCGGCGGCTTGAGAGGGGCAAGGGGAAGGGGACGGGTGTTTGGCCGGTGGGTTGGGAGGACTGGCGGCTATGAGGGGGGCTTTGGTGAAGAGGCTGGTGGGTCAAGTGGAAAAGGGGAGAGGATAAAGGAAGAAGAAACTAACCACGAGCCCTGATGCTTCCTGAAGCTGGTGGGTGATCCGATTTCCTCACCTAGGGATTTCTCTCCGAAGCTCTCAAGCTCTCACAAAACTCATGGATGCAGGAATTTTCATAATAATCATTCATTAACCCTCAAAGGAGGGGAAGTCTTTAAATAGCCCAAACAATAAAGAAAATACAAAAGACTCAATTGCCCTTAGGGCATATATATGAATAGGCTCTTAAGCTAGGGCATAAACGGAAAAGTACAATAAACTCATGAAATATAATAAAAATAATAAATCTAATAAAAAGATAATCAAAAGTAGATCGATGTGATCATGGTCGTAGATCGTCGACCCTGCCTATGATAAACTCTCCAAGGCCTGATGCCCTCATCATAATGTTTCTTTTTTATTGCATGTAGTCGAACAATTGTGTTATGAAATGCTCTTGTTCGGTGATAATTTTCTTTTTTTCATTTGTAAAGTTGATTGGTGAAACTTTTCTCTATTTGTTTGTATTGTGATGTATTTCGATGTCAAACCCACGGTTGGCTTCCATCTGCAAATTTCTATGTTTATATATCCTGCTCTACGGTTCTTTTTTTTCAAGTAATAACTAATTGTTGAGTTGAATCTGCCAAGTCTATTATTTTCTCTGTTATATTTATTTGAATAATTAGTAAATGATTAAGTAATATTAGAGGTTTTTAGGGAAAGGGGGACAAGAGAATCATCGCTTTTGGGGTTGGGCAGCCTCTAGCATTCGTACTATTGCATTCTACTCGCTGCATAGTTACGCTCAAACTAGATGTATTATGGAAGAAAGGATATCATAGAAGAGAAATTTGAATTAAAAGTCCTTATTAAAATTATTTGATACTACTCAACTTGTAGCAAACAAAAGTTCTTTCAGATTATATTTGATATCATTCCTTTTTCTTTTTGGTTGATTTATTTACAATGGTTAACGGTTAACTGCAAAGCATATTAATGGATCAAGAGATATTTATTCTACATCCATGTGAAGTTGTCTTTCCTTCAGTTCTCTCTTAGAAATTATAATCTAGGTGCTATGTCCTCAGTGTTATCATTGTCGTTAATATTTTCATTTGAATTCCCAAAGAATAATGCTTGAAGTTTCTTACCTTAGTATTTCTTCTGCCACTGTTCAAATTATGCAATATTCTGTATGATATAAATAATGCTATGCAAGATTGGTTTGTACTAATTCACTCTACTTGTTGTAGAGGGTACTTAAGGAGAAGAATGCATTAGCCGAAAGGTTAAAGAGTGCAGAAGCTGCACGAAAAAGGTTTGATGATGAATTAAAACGGTTTGCTACAGAGACAGTTAGCCGTGAGGAAGTTAGGCAAGCTCTTGAAGATGAAGTTAGGAGATTGACAGAGACTGTTGGACAAAGTGAAGGAGAAAAAAGGGAGAAGGAGGCACAAGTTACTCGATGTGAAGCTTACATTGATGGAATGGAGGCCAAATTGCAGGCGTGCCGGGTATGGTAGTATTACTCTCAGCTATAATAATATGCTCTACCAATATGAACAAGTTTTGGTTTCTTTCTTTTTTTTTGATATTAAACCATCTAAGAGACTGCTACACATAAATTGTCTTTGCTATTAGGTCATTTCCTCTTTGTTCAAACCAATGATTGCAAGTTGTGTGGTACTAGATGATTATTATTTTTAAACAGAAGTCCATCCCAAATATTTCATTCTTTGTAAAGGATCCGGGCTAGTTACAAGATACGTAGGAACAGGATTAGCTATAAATAAGAATGGAACAAGGCTAACTATAGGTCAAATTTTAGTTAAAAAAAGTCACCGAATAGTCTCAAAATTAAAATCTCCATGCTGAGCATTAAAAAGAGTATTGTTTGAGCCAGAAACTTTTTGGTGTATCATCCTAGATGTTAGTGAGTTGTATCACCAATCATTTATTTGAGTGGTATTGCTTTTTATCTCTAAAGTTGATATTTATATGGATGTCATGAGTAATAGGTTTATCAGTAGTTGATTATTTTCTAGATTTGGTGCTTGGTGCAATTTTCTTTTGGAGTGCAATTTTCTTTTGGAGTGATCCCAGTTTCATGTTTATTTAATCATGTAAAGTTTTACAAATTTTCTTTTTATACTTTGTGATAGTAGTTGTTTCAGCTTTCAGCATAACATTTAGTTTTTTGGCAGTTATATTGTATTGCAATTGAGCTCATTTGCTAGTTGGCTGGTGACTGATTTGCACTAGCACCATCAATCCCTATCGAGCCTGTGTCTACATTGCAGTTATATAATGATGATTTGTTATGTACATGATAAAACGGTGTCAGATTCCTCCAACTTTGACTGTTTATTTTTTTGATAATTTACATTTTTATGTTTTGAATAGACATACTGTTTAGCTATTTTGTTTACTTGTATGTCCTATGTATGATCATTTTATACTAATTTGATCTACTGTGATAGAAGGTTATGCATTTTGTTGAGCAAATAAGTGCATTAAGTCTAGATTGAAGTTTCATTGTTTACATTTTGCAACTGCAGAATATGGTTCGATAAATTTGCTTTTCAGGCTTTGAAAAACTTCAGTGGCTCAATGAATATTGCTTTTTGTTAGAGGATCCTGAATTTAATCCTTCTGTGTTGCATGTGAAATAGTTCAACTATATATATATATATATATTGACAATTTAATAGCAATCATAAAGAATGCAGATCGAAGGGTAGTATAGCAATGACCTTATGTCAATTTAATAGGATATGGCCGACTTTCTATTTTTTAACTTGTCTGTTCTTCCAAGACTTAAACAAGTTACACAGTGCTCAGCCGTCTGTGCTTTCTTATCTCTACTTATCTCTACTGTCCGTGTTTGGAATTTATATTGGGTGCGGGCTCCGGACATAGCTCTACGTCCGAATGTCGTGCCACGTGGATCACGATGAATGGTGAGGTCATCGTGATCTAAGTGGGACGATATGATTGGATTCCGGATGTAGTGATACGTCCAGAGTCTGCACCCAATAAAAATTCATGTGTTTGGCCTTTTGTACGCTCATTTCACATTCATTCCTATTGAGTATCGCTTGATCTACAATATCTATTTTACACAAATCTAAAACTTTTACTCTTATTATTCTTTATTGTAGCAATATATCCATACCCTTGAAGTTTCCATTCAAGAAGAATTGGCCCGGCACGCCCCGCTTTATGGTGTGGGCCTTGATGCCTTATCAACACAAGAGCTCGATACACTTGCTCGCATACATCAGGATGGTTTGCGGCAGATACGCGTTGTCCAACAGCGCAACAATAGCGCAAACACCCTCGTTAGCGAGCATGCGCTCCCGCATCTTCATGGACTATATTCCGCAGCTCCTCAAGTGACCATTGGCCTCCCGCCCTCCAGCATCCCAACTGGTGCAGGGGTGCACAACAATGGTCACACGAGCGGCGCAGTCCGCCCATGGTTCAATTCCACATAAAAGAGGTAATTCTTGTTTTCGGCATCCTTATTTTCATGGCTTATAGATATTTTTTTTATCAGCAGCCAATGTGATTGTCATGATAGATTTACATCCCCTGTAGCCATTCCAGGTCTCTTTTCATTTGAGCTGGTAGAACTGTGGGATTTTTAGTAGATTTCAATGAAGCTGTGTCATATAAATAAGTTAAGAAGATAGTAACTCAGCGATTCAATAGTGGTACTATAATAGTTTTTTTTAGGGTTTGAGGAAAATCCAATAGAGCTATCAGTTGCAAATGAAAGCATTGGAAATGAGAGATTATCAGGTAATTGGGGGATAAGGGCACGCATTGTGAATCTTATTTGTTAGTCAAGAAATGAAGATGCAATGATATTCAGTATTGATGATTTCAGGGATTTAGAATGTGTGGCCTTTTGTTTTTTCAATTCTTTGTAGCTGTGTTGATTTTGTGTTTTTTATTGTCAGCATAATTATTTTGTTCATTATTTTTGAATTGGAAGTATCTTTATATGATTTTTTTTCTGCAATGGAAGCATATTGTGGGAAAATGGCTTGTTTGTTAATGTTTTGAAGGATTTTGGAGTTTGATTGAGATATATAGACAACCCACATGAAATATAGGTTTTATTTGGGAGAATTTCCTTATTATTTTATGAAGCGGTTTTTTAGTTTTTTAGTTTTTTTTTTTAATTTGAAATTTTTGAACTAAAAAGCTGCAGTAAGAAAGCCATCTCAAATGTGCCATAATTAGCAGTAATAAAGCTGTTTTAGAAAGTAAAAAAAAAGCTTTCCCAATTGAAGCCTAAAGTTTTGTTTGGGATAACTTTCTACTTGCTTTTTAAAGTGACTTTTTAGTAAAAAATTAAACTTTTTTACTATAAAGTTGCTTTAAAAATCAATAGAAAATCAGTCTCAAATAAAGCTTAAATGTATAATTGTAAGGTTTTATTTGGGATGGTTTTTTTACTGTTTTAAAAGTAATTTTTTAGTAAAAAAATTTAATGAAAAAATAATGATCAAAAGTTGTTTTAAATGAAGCTTAAGTGTACAAACATATGCATCATGATCAATCCTTATCAACTTAGAAAAAGATTTAAAAATGCCTGCAATTGTTCATCCATATCTTCATTAGAGAATGCCTAATTATGAAATTATAGTCAAAATTAGATATCAAAGTTATAATAATAATAATTTCTACAATCCTTAACATCTTAATTGACTGCACCCACTCCTCGATATCTTGCCAAAATCTTATAAAATCCTTAACAAATCCAATTTTTTTAAAATATCTTGATCTGCTTCCATCCACCATAGCAATACAGCTAAAAATGTTTAAGCAGGCTGGCAAAGACCAACCTGTCTTCATTAATCCTAACCTTGCTGGAAGAACTATTAGAAATATAATAAAAAAATAAGGAAAAAAATATAAAATTTGCTTAAAATTTTCTAATGTCATAATATTCCTTAATTTTTTATTTTATTTTATATTTTAGGTTCAGAAGTTCCAACCGTAGAAGCAACGAAACGAAGGATAAAGAAAGATCAATTATTGTTGTTGGTGGTCAAATTACTCAGACATTATTATAAATCCAAAGTTTTATTTGGGATGATTTTTTATATCAGAAAGTTGCTTTGAAGAATAATAAGAAAATTAATCCAAATGAAATCAAAATATTTGTTTGCTTCATTTAAGAAAAAAACAGCCATAATCATAAAAAGGGAAACAATTTTTTATTAAGATGTTATGATATATTTTGTATCATTATGAGATTAATTTTACTACAATTTATTAATTTCATGCATAATATATTCTCTCTTAATATAATTAAATTATTAGACATTTATAAGCATAATCATGATAGGAAAAAAAAAAAAGAAATCTTTAGAAGAATTTTTTTATCTTTATTTCTACCTAACTAGATGGAACATCTAAAATAAATTCTTTTAATATTTGCAAGACACAAATTATTTGACATTATAACTAAAATTTTTTATATTCATAAGAAAACATATAAAATTTAATAAAACTATATCAAATAATAGAAAAGTATATTATCATGTGATCTTACAGACATATAATAAAATTAATTTCATCCTTTTATAAAATGTTTTAGGATATCTCAATAAAATTTATTTTTCCATTACAAATTATAAACATCTTATGAAGCATGGAGACAGTTTTTTTTATTATTTTCTAAAATAATTTTTTAGTACACAAATTTTTAATTAAAAATTTTGATTAAAAAAAAATATTTTAAAAATCACTAATAAGCTGTCCCAAATGAAGCCTAAATCGAAATGGGCATATTATCAGAATATTTGATCATAAGAAATTAAAAAAAAAAAATTTGAAATCTCCCACAAGAAAATGCGAATACACATTTCAATAATAGGGCGAATTATTGCATCCGGTCACTTGACATCCGGACAACCAATCCGGATGCGCCACGTCACTCAAATACATCGGGGCCCGATGTATTTCGCTGATGTGGCGCGTCTGGATTGGTGTCCTGACGAATCTGGACACCGGACGCAATAATTTGCCCAATAATAGTGATTTTCCTCGCCGGCTCGCCAATAATACAACATCATCAAATTCAAATAAGTTAATTGTCCGTGTACTGTTTGCAATATTACAAAAGAGAGAAAAATAAAAAAAATAGCCGTTAACCGATACAAGTAGGGAGTGTGATCCCATGGCACACAAATGCAAGCACTACATATATTATGATCAGAAGGATAAGAATCAGCGCAGCCCTGCAAGATGTGTTTGAATATATAATCAGATCTCCCACACAAAAACCTACAATACAATGTATAAAGATGGATGAAAATTCAACCATTGCAGCTAAGGTATTTATCTTGATCTTAAGGCGGTAAGGGCATCTCCAACCGAAAAACCCAATTTCCACTCCAAAATACAGTCATTCTTCTCCAATCGAACGTCATTTCTTCTTTCGTGTGCTTCCTGCGAAGGTAATCATCTTTAGCGCGCTTTTCTCCTCTTTCGCGCGTTTCTTCGCCAAATCCCGCAGCAAATTTAGTTGGCATAGGTGAACAGTCCGACCCCAATATTGGCGTTGCACTGTTCACTTACCAGAATTTGGCGTGCAATTTGAAGTTTGAATGGAGCAAATGACGAACGGGCATACAGTGATATGGAGTTCGGTTGAAGATGGTCTAATATAAATAGTCTTGCAATACAAACTCTACCGTAATAGGAAATGGAGTACAAGCGCACAAAGGAAAGAGGGGAGAAAAGGGAAAGATAATTTGATGCCCATTTGAAAGTATTGGCCAGCTCACATTTCAGGTTTTGTCAAAAACATCCTTCATTAAGAAATATGAAGTGATGGGGAACAGGAGAGCATGTGGCCAGTCATAATGAACCAATAATCATTGTTGTTCATGGGTAGCAAGAAAAGGAGTTGGTGTTCCAGTGAAGGAAACTGAGATCTAGATCATAGATTACATTGTTTTTAGACTAATTTTGATTAGTTGTAAATCTAACATCAAAGCTCAACTCTTCTCATAAGGGATTGATAATAATAATGTCGGTTTTTGGGGGTGTGATATTAACAATTAAACTAATACCTATTGTAACAGATTCAATCATCAGGGATTTCTTATATGGGAGAAAATTTTGGGCAATGTAAATTTTAAAACCTTTAGATTTCATTTTCAGATGAGTGCAATATATAGATAATCAATTATCTTTTATATTACACATCTCTCAAAGCAAATTCAAATGTTTGAAATCTCATCTCGACCAAATTTTGGCCAATATGTCCTCGCCTTTTTTTTTTTTTCATTATAGAAAAGAATGAAGACATGGATGAGAATATAACTTCTAGATTCAATGCAAGGTAATTAAAATAAAGAAATAAATCCATGTTTATATGATAAGAGGATATCAAGGAGACTCACAAATAAATTTTATAAAATTGAAATTATGCCAGCAATATTGTATGGATCCAAATGTTGGTTGGTGAAAAAATTGTTGATAGCCAAGCAAGGACAAAATTGAGCATTGAGAAATAGGGTACACAGAGCAAAATAACAAACACGAGAGACATACATGCAAGGAAAACACAAAAAGAATCGGGAAATAAATATTTGGGTTGTTCAATGATAATCACTTATGTAATTTATTTTCTAGGCTTTCATCCCATGAGCAAACTTAATTTCATCTCCATTCCCACTAAAATCTTCTTATAGCCCTCCTCGCATTAAATCCAATAAGTCCTCATCCTCCTCCAATTCGATTAATAAAAACTAAACCCCATATCTAAGAAGAATATTAAGATAGGTGGTGGAAAGACTAGAAAAAACAGATTAAGAAATGATCATATTAAAGCAACGTTGCAATGAGATTTACTGAAGATAAGTTAATTAAAAATAGGTTTCAGTGGTTTGAATATGTACAATGAAGGATTAGGAAGGAATAGGATAATGCAAAATGGATAGAAATTGTTAAAAAAAATGCAAAGAATAAGTTTAATACCGCAGAAAACAGTCAACATCAATAAATGAAAAAAGTTAACTCATAAAGCTAATCTCGAATCATGGTTTAAAATTGCGCAATATGAGGCTCGCCTTGAGGTCCGCCTTTGCGCAATTCTAGTAAAAAATGCCTTGATGCTTATGCCTCGAGTTTTTTTTTATGAGGCTTGCGCCTCAACTTGGTTGAGGCCCGCCTCGCCTCACGCTATATATATTAAAACTTACATAAATCTTGAAGTAAATGCTCGACATTGGACTCTATAGGAGAGGAGGAAGGAGATAGAGCAGTTCATCATAATGATGATTCAAATGAAGAACCCTTAGTGATGACAGTGCTGATGACTTATGAGTTCTTATGTGATATGTCATTGCTATTTATTTTTGGAAATTGAAATTATATTTTAATGAAAAGAATACTGAGATTTGGGAAAGATAGAATTTTGAGTTGAACTATATTTCATGTTGTCTTATTATTGGGATATTTTGATTTCATTTCATATCTTATGCTTTTTTATGTTTTATATTATTCACTCATTAGTATATAAAAAATTTATCATTTTATGTTTACGCAATCTTTTGATTTTGAGGCTTACGCCTCAAAACGCCTTGAGGTTTGGGCATCGCCTCACGAATGAAAAATGCCTCAATACCCAAATACGCAATTTTAAACAATGCCTCGAATATTTAGGACAAAACTAATGATGATAGTCTTTAAAAATGATATTCATTCAAGGTTAAACAAGTAAATTCATATCAATTCTATTAAACAATTTGAACTATGGTGATTGTTGAGAGTTTAATAGGAGGGCTTTGGGCGTTGTACTGAGAGGTAAGATCCCTGCAATACACATTGTCAACAAAAGAAATGCAGGTAGCAGCCAGGACAGGAGCAATTACCAGAAAATGGAAATTATAAGACTTCATTATCTTTACTGGGAGAAAAAAAAAAACTAATAAGTTAAAAAATAAACAACAAAAACGTAGCTTCCAAATAAAGTTAAGGTAAGAAAGTTGGTTTGATTGCTGCCCTTGCAATGTTCAAAAAATAGGCAATTGAGATGAGTGCTTCAAATGCCAAAAACCAATGCAAAATATGAAAGGATTACTCCAAAAAAATTATGAAATCATGCATATATGAGTGTTTTCTGCATTTTTTTATTTCCACAAAACAACCTACCCTAAAGCACATGCACGTTTTAGTATATTTCACACACAAATAAAGATCCTAGATCTCCATTCAATGGGCATAACAGGCATCATACAAAACCATATAAACCACAAGTGCAGAAAAGAATACTTAGAAAGATTTTTCTTACGTGAGTTTAACATTCCGCCACCACACGGTATTCCTGAAACGGCGAGCCTGCTTTCGGAAGCGGATTGTTTTATCTTGCATGCTTGTAGTTTTATCAACCAACAATTCCAAACGGTCACCTCTTTCTAGGACTTTGTCAATATTATCTATCATGACATTCCTTACCTACACAAGTAAATGCAGTAAAAGAAAGCTTCCAATAATCACAAAAAAATAAGATAACTAAGAGATGCAAGCTCTCGAGCTCTAGGGTACTGCAAAAGGCTTATTCTGCTTACATTCTTAATTTTTAAGCTTCAAAAGGGATAAGAGATAGGGTGTCAATGAGCTCAAGTGTTATTCTACTCAGCTTTTTTTTTTATTAAATAGTCAAAAATTTTTATGTTTAAGTGTTATTCTAATCAGCTTATTAAGTGAGCAAGCCAAAAAATCTTTTTAAGTATTTGGTTCGTTAAATTATCAAGTTGACAAGAGGTGTCCAAGAATGTAATGTCCACTTGAAAGTCACATGTAAATTATATAATATACATATTCCTAATCATAATAGTATACAAGCATGCATGCATGCATACATCCATATGCATGTTTATATTATCAAGCTGACAAGAGTTGTCCAAGAATATAATATCTACTTCACGCATATACACATATATAAGCATACATGCATGTATATGCACAATTTTTTGTATGTATAAACATAGTGAAGCTATTATAGAGCCACACAATCAAATAAGAAATTGTTCTTAATTGGCTTATTGAATAAAAGAGCTTATAAAACCTATCGAACTTGAGCTAATTATCAAATCAAACACAATAAAACATGAACAACGAATAGGTGACTATAACAGTATGCTTCCCAATGCATCACGAGTTAGAAGGTGAATATTTGCTGTCATTCCATAAAAAAATACATAAATATAAAGAACCATCCCCTTTCCCTTTCATTTTGGTGAAAAACATAAAGACCCAAACTGAAAAATTCAATTTACTATTCCTTTGATCAAAATATCTACCTTCCATCCTAATGGTATTTCAGGAAATTGATGTGCACACAAGCCAAATCATTATGTCATTTATTGAATTCAAATATAGCATGGTAAGAATGTAGTAAATATGAAATGATTGACAGATGCTGCAAATATGAAATCACAAGTAGTGAGAAAGCCTATTATAAGGTAGTAGAAACCTCCATCCTATCTGTCATACAGCGGCCAAATGCATGTGTGGAAGGATCACTTCAAAGAAGACCTTGATTGCACTTGAACATTTGTAGAGAATATGATACAGGAAAAAAGGATGGAGAAAAAACTCCAACAGGTAGGTGAAAGGAGACTGCCAAGAGGAAAACGTCCAAGGTATCTAAAAGGGCTTTCAAATCCTGGCCGAAATCCTCAATGGAGGAGCCCCGACAACTAAAGGCTGGAAATGCACTTGATGGAAACTAACTTTAATAGTGTATTGCTTACAGAATGACTAATAACTCGTAAACAAATAAAAGTAGTACGCATATGTCCAAATATGCAAAATGAAATCAAAGTACTAAAAAATAACGCGACAATAATATAAATAAGCAAAAAAATCTCCCCGAACTATTTGTGTATGCACAATTTAGTCCTAGAGTAGCATGTTGCCCCAATTTAATTTGGAGATTATACAAATTGATCCAACATAGTATCTCATGTTGTAATTGTGATATAAAATTGATCTCAAATTAGTCCCTCGACTTTACAAAATTGATCCCAATTTAGTTCCGAATGGACCATTTTGGATCAATTTTGTATAGTCAAGAGACTAAATTGAAGCAACGTTATACTCTGGGATTAAAATTGCCATTTACGAATAGTCGGTGGATTATTTTGAAATTTAATCCCATAAATATGTATAATGAATTACTGGTGATCATGCAACAGAATAAGTTTAGCTGATTGTTTGATAAAGAAAAAGCTGATGTGTAATCAATTCATGGAATCGTAGAATCATTATAACCACCTGGATGGCCAGACTATGCAATTCGTACCTATATAGTATGTTATGAGACATGCCATGTGATTTCATTGAATGTTATTACAAGTTGATCAAGCTCTACAAAAATTGAGACACGCATGAAAGATTTATTGATGTTATTAAAATATATAATGTATACTGACTAGTATTAGAAATAAGAATTAAGTGATCCAAGAGTTTCTGATTAAAGTAGGTTTGCATGAAAGATCAACACAGAATTTATGCTCTTTTATATTGGTTATAGAGATATTTACAAATGGATTTTCAAAGTGACATTCCTTGAGAGCTCTAATCAATGAGACATCTATTGAAAAAAGTGAAAAATTAGAATAATGAAGAAAAAATCTAGAAGATACAAGACTTTAAATTAGTCAAGCAAAATTATATATATGATATGCAATTTTTTTAGTAGTATAATATTATAAATTATGGATCAATATTATTAAAAGATAAAGTGATACCTAGCCTTCACAAGTTATCTTGGATCTATTATACAAATAAATAGAGTTATAAATGGTGATATAATTTCTATTTAAGGCTAAATAGTTTAAATGGAGAGAGAACTCAAGAGTCTTATGCAATAACAGATTATCAAAGACATTTAGATGATGAATTTTATAGCACAGCAATTAGGCCAACGAAATTGTTTGGGGCTAAGCACCGGATGAAAATAAATCATTAATATATAAGTTGAGTAAAGGAATAAATGAGAATGTTAAGATACCATGCGATACAACTAAGAAAGATAAATTAAGGATTGTTATATTAACAGAAAAAAATGAAATAACATCAATTGAAGAAAGGATAATTGAAAATAGACCTAAGTCATGTACAGTGAAGGATACAAAATATGCCTATTAAATGAGTAGATGAAATTAACATAAGAGGATTATAAAGAAAAATGATGGACCTAAGGTAATATGAATAGAGGTTGTTCAAAATGATTTGCAAAGAATAAGTCTAGCTCCTCAAATAACATTCAATATGAACAAATAGAAAATGAGGATTCAAAAAGCTGATCACAAATAGTTTGATAAGATTAATGATGGTGATGACTATAATTTCATTCAAATAATTTGAGTAGAGCACTGATTGGGATTGAAAAGAAAAAAATCACTTCATTTAAACTTAGTTGTTGTATAAAGCAGTTGTATTATTTCTAGAGATATAAAAATGCATTGAATTGTTTCACATAATTTGAGTTAATACATTATTTTAGGCATTTAAGTTCTATCTCTCCCAACTTACCCATCTAAAGCCCCTACTCCCTTCTTTCCAATACAAACATCTCTACAAGAAATAAATAAACACAAGTACACACCCAGATAGATACATATTTTTACCAATTAGAAGGCTAAAAATGTCAATGTAAAATCTCAATTATTTAGTCAATAAAAGAAATTTCCTTGGAATGCTTAGTTAGGATAAGAACCAAATCACTCGATAAATGAAAGTTCTTGGTAGTTGATTCGGTGAGAAAATTATCAGGGAAAATAAGAAAGTATGGGTACTTATATTCTCTGAGCTAATCTGTACAATCATGATGTACGTGTAATTTAGCTATGGGATTGAAAATGGATTTCAACTCTACCTGACTCATTTCACCTCTGATGCGGTTAATCCTATCTGCATTAGGATCATTTGAATAATAGTCCATTTGCTGACTTAAGACCCTAGAAAATTCATCATTCATGCCATAAGCAAGAGCTGTATGGCATGCACGCCCATATGTCTTCACAAATCTTCCATGAATGTCTTCAAGAAATACAAACGGAATTCTTCCTGTGAAAAGGAAAATGTTCCAAATTAGCACTAAGATACCATATGAAAGGTTCCAATGAAAAAAACACACAAGTTATTTGTGCAGAAAGTTGTTCCAACCATTCATTATAAGCTTCTATGATAGATAAGTAAATATTTACATAAAGAGTGTCTAATTGTGTGCTCGTATAAGATATCCATGCAAATGAAAAGTTTCCGCCGCAGCTAAAGATAAAATAAATGGATAATTATATTGGCATTACTTATATGAGCATTTAAACCCATAGGTACATTTTGCAACATCCACCTTTAACCAAAGTGCTAATAATGTTAAGTTTCTCTTCCAAATTCATGGAGAGAATTAAGATGTTACTGCTCATAGACTAAATGCACCTCTCTGCCTCTACTGCATCAATCAAAACTTTGTTGACTTCTTTTCGACAAGGGTTTCAAGCCATATGAATGTTACTTATAACTCTTATTACGAACACACACGAATTTTCTCTTGGCCCGTCCTTTTAAGTTCACTCTAATAATTATCATCTCTTTCTCAAGTTCAAAATCATAATAATTCATTAATCTATTCTAAAAAAATTGATTTTTACATTATCTTCTAATCCAAATTCAAGATTATAAAGACTATCCATATGTGTAGCATTTATTTAATAGTAATTATTATAAGTACCACTAGCCTCTCCCACAACTTAATTGCTTGACTTACAAGTTTAATTCTCTTAAATTATCGTAATTTAAAATTTTTACTTTGTTTATGAATATAGTACCAAAATACTTCTCTAATCATTTGACATCCTCCTAAATTCAAATTTTCTTTGAAAACAGTTCTTTAGCAAACTACTCTGATGTCATGCATAACTTTCAAGCCTCAATAGGTACACAAACTCAATGACCTAGCCTCAGAAGTAGCATCAGGCTTATTGGATTATGGAGTAAGCATCAACCTTCTAAGGAAACCCAAGGTCAGTGTTAGTATGACTCTTATTTTTCTCCAGTTAAGCTAGGCTCTTTCATGAGAGTGTTTATGCGAATCTTATATTGATCTAAAGTTATCTTTAAGAATCTTCTTAAAAGCTAAATACACTTTATTTGTTTATGAATCTATAATATATAACATTAATATGTTACTTATTCAATTGCACAAAGATTTTTTCCTTAAAAATCACATTTAATAGTTTTTCAAAGTACCACTTCCATCTTTCCTTATATCTTCATCTTTGACTAAGATCTTATCATCACCAATTTTAATGTATTTAGTTTGATTAGAAGTTTTTAAATCACTAATCTCTTACCGTAATTATATAACTTTAACTAATACACACACACACATAAATTGCTTACTTAGTATATAGCCTTTCTATAAATCCTAAATAATTAAAACCTTAAATTTTCTCTCAACTCTATTTTCAAGACTTTAGGGTTTAGGGAATAATCTTAACCATATTTACTTTCTTTCACTCCTTAAAATTAACTTTCTTTTCCTTCATAACTTTTATACCTTCTAATTCCACCCATTATCCTCACAAATGTACAATAAATCTCTGAACATTCCCTAGTACTTCTACATCAATCATTTTAGTGAAGCTGGCCGTCTTATCCAACATAAAGTTTGGCTCAACTATAGAATTCCAAGTATTCTCTCTTAATAATCTATGTTAAATGAAAACAACTTCACATTAAGCCTTCACCATCTTATCTTGCTTAATCTTTATTTTATTTGACAGAAATATCATTTAAGAATTATTTGTAGTAAACAGAAACAGTCATCCAAAAATATATCTCCTAATAACATAATATTATATGGTAGACGAAAGCAAACAAACCAAGATAAAAGAGGGGCTCCAACCCAAGCCACACGGATCTACCATCCACTTTTACTAAAACATTTATTCTTAGAAACTCAATCTCGCAACTATATGAGGGGCCAAAGGAAAAAACTCAACTTTAATAACCACATTATACCATCAGTATATCCCCAAAATCATCACGGAGAATCCCTCAACCCTAATTATAACTCCCAAAAAAAGGAAAAAAAAAGTAGGGATTAAGAAATCCAATTCGAGCTATTGAATCATTCATTTGTCCTTGTCTATAACGATGCAAAATAAAAAATGAATTGGGAAAAAATCAAGTGCGAAAACAGCAGCAGCATGATCGATGAAATGCAACGGAATATGTCGAAAAGGGGAGGGAGAAACACTCACTGCCGGCGGTATCATCTGCCATGCACAGGGCGGTGATGCCATCGGTGCGATTGACGTGGAAGATGTAGCGATCCTGCGAGTAGGAGACATGGCTATCGTTTGTCCCTGGGATCTTCTCGAGGATCTGCCGGGCGATCGCGCTCGCGTTCGTCTGCGTCGCGCTGAACTCCGCCAAGACCACAGAGCCCCGCGCCACCAGCGCGTATAGGATCGCCATGTTGATCGACCCTGTATCGCTTCTGCCCTTCCTCCCCAATGGATTTCGATGGTTAGGACCTCTCTTGAAATTAAAAAGGCGAGAGAGAAAGAATTGGACAGCTAAATTATGGTGTAAACGAGTACCCACTTGTTCTTCAGCTTAATTATTAACTAAATTCAAATTTTACATTAATTTTATGAATTCTAATAGCTCTTTCATTTATTAATAAATAAATTTAATATAAATAATTATTAAAATAAAATTATAAAAATATAATAACAAATCATTTGATATAGAAAAATGATGTATAGCTTTTTTAAATATTTATAGAATTTTTTACTTTGTTATGTATTATATTAAGAAAATTATGATTTGCATCTTACATTTTCACACATGATAATTAAATATTAATCAAAACAAAATTTAATTTATTTTTAATTTTAATTCTATCATAAAAAATATATAAATATGCATATGTATTAATGTTTGTTAAATGTTTTTGGGGTTTTGAAATTAGATTTTGAATTGAGCGTGATTTTTAGTGCTAAAAAAAAAATACAAATCAAGTCACCCAAAATTGGCTAAAAAAATTCATAAATTCATTGACTATCGAACGATCCCAACACATTTATAGTTAAAATGGCTACATAAGCATGATGTTTCCACAGTCACTAAGGTCACATGAATCCATAACCGTGTTCATGGTCAAATTTTTAAGTAACTAAATCAAATAGAATTGGATCAATTTGGTTCAATCCAAAGGTGTTGACTAGAGCCTCCCACATCTACCTCGCGCTTTGTTTATGCATTAATGCTTTCATAAGTGTCTTAACAAGTATCAAACCTACTCATTACTAAAACGCTTGCTCTTTAAGAGGAGTTGCCTCTAACACTTGCCTGAACCAACAACGGAGTTTGTCCAAGGCAGTGAGAGTTAAATATGGTCCGTCAGACAAGTAGATCATCGCTCACTATTACCTCAATAACTGGCTCCCATCATATAACCATTATCCGCTCATCCAAGCTCAATTACTGGAATGCTCTCACCCAGGGTTCCCTACTCACCCTACAAATGCTTACCACAACATCTTACCTCAACTGGTATGGGATCTCTTTGACTTGTAGGGAGAATTCTAATTGTTTGAGATCTCTACTCCCCCTATACACTCTTTACTCTCCCTCAACACTCTCTACTCTCACTCAAAAGTTCTTCTGCCCTTTCAGTAGACTCGCTAGTAAATTTGAATTCAACACTCTCCTCGCAAACATTCATGCATCGACTTGTATCAAATCAATGCGACTTGATTATGCCCAAACCATCCCAACATTGAATTGGGGATGATAGTTCTTGCTTTGTGGCTTTAGGAAAACATGCACTGACAACAATTTTTGAATAAGGAGTTGGTTATTGTACTTTATGTTTAAAGGTTATTTACAGGATGTATGAAGCATGTTTGAATTGAACATTATCTGACCCATATTTTGTTTGAATTATTTGTGTGATCTATTATTTTTGCTCTCTAAATTTGCTGTTTCATGTCGAGCTTTGGACAAATTCTATTTGAATATGCAACACTGCAATTCAACTATTTTATTATATTTTTTAATTTAAATCTTTTTTCAAACCCTATTCAAAGCTTGATTTTTTTGGGAAATTTACATACATACCACTTTATACTAAGGGTGTCAATTTCTGACACTGCCCGAACCCGATCAGGAAAAATCCGGTTTAGGGTCAACCCGGACCCGAAACGGTTCGGGTTCGGGTTCAACAAATCAACCCGTTTTAAAAATCGGGTCGGGATTGGTTTGACCCAAATACCCGAAAATGACCCCAAATTGACTCGAAAACTCCTATTTGACTCGGAAACCCAAGATTGACCCTTTTTTGACCTGAAAATCGAAGATTGACCTGATTTTGACCCAAAAACTAGCAAGTTTAGGTGAACTTCCGGTCATACGTGTCGGGTCGAGTTGACCCGGACCTGAATTGGGTCGGGTTCGGAAACCTGACCCGTTTTTAAAAATGGGTCGGGTTCGGGTTGACCCGAACAGTGCTGGTCAGTTCCGGATTTGACCTGAACCCGACCCGTTAACCCGCATTGACACCCCTACCTTATACCATCCTATTTACATATCTAACATCCCCAAACTTTATATCACATACATACCACCATATATTATTTTAATATCAAATATATCACTCATATTTCCTTCCTACCACTCATATTTGATATAAAAATGAACTATGGATGGTATGTATGTAACATTAAAGTTTTAGGTGTTAAATATGTAAATAGAGTAGCATATGATAGTATGTATGTAATTTTTTTTTTTCAAATAACAAAGACAAATTCTTGGTTATGATTAGAAGAATATTCCATCATGGATCATATTTTTATAGCATATGGTCTCAACCTCAACCAATATTTATTCAAATTCATTTGTAGTGGAGCAAACTTTAAAAAATAATTAATAATCTGCAATCAATGCAGAAGAATTTCAATTCTTAGGAAACATTCAGACATATTTCTCTAACACATGAAAGAACTGACATATTTATAAAATTTTGAATATTATAAGACATGAACTCGAATTTTTTTTTTTAAGAAAATAATATTATATGATTATTATAGCCCATTAATTATTAATTTTGAATATATATGATTACAATCCCCGACATTTAAAAAAAAAATCATCTTAGATTTCACATTTTCGCCTATCACCTGATGGGATAAGTGCTAATCGAAGTTTATTAAGACAAATTCATACACACATCACATACGTAAAACTCAAATTTAAAATCTTTTAGGCTTTGTTTGGGACTACTGTTTTGTTGCTTCTTAAAGCAACTTTCTAGTATAAAAATTTTAATTTTTTATTAAAAAAATTATTTTAATAAGCAATAATAAAAAGCAATTTTCTTGTCAAAAACATATTGTTACATGATAGGTCAGAGAAGGACAGGTAAAAGAGAGATGGCACGTGCCAATGTCCAATTTACACACGCATAATTCCAAACGTAAGCTCATCGTTTTCTTCTGCTGCGTAAAAACCCTCACATCCACTATAATCACGTTCATTGATGGACGTAATTTTTATTATGGACATTTTTTATAAAAAAATATTTATTGTTATTTATTTGTTTATATTAAAAATGCTTATCAAGGATAATTGTATTATCCTCTTTTTTTTTTTAAGAATTTGAAATTCGCTTAAAGTTTTATTTGGAATATTTTTTTATTGTTTTCTTTTTAAATCAACTTTTAGTAATTAAAAAATAAATAAAATTGTCATAAAAGAGTTGAAACTTTTAGCAAGTTTCAAAAATTGGTTGCACTGAGAAGTTGCTTTAAAAACAGTAAAAAATTATTCTAAACGAAGACTGAATAATGTACTCGCTTTAGAATACATGTATTTTAAAAACACTTTCACCAAATAAATCATGAAAGAGTTGAATTCAATTTTATATAAAAACGACCTCTAATAATACTTTTTTATTAATACACTTGTCAAAAAAATTGATCAAGAAGAATACCAAATTTATTAATTTTATTTTAAAATAAGAACAATGTAACTAAAATCTATTTAAATTTATATTATGCTGATTTCAAAATAAATTTAATTTCCTAAAAATTCATCACAACAAAAAATTTAACCGAAATGTCCTCACCCAATTTATATTTACATCTGCAATGCCATCTTATATTTCGTTAAAAATACTCTGCAATTTATAAAATATTTATGTAGTTTAATGCAATTTATATTAAAATTATATCGATACAATATTTTTCCTAGAGGCCAATAGTAATCTTCGTGACCCGTCAGAGCCTCAGATCGCATCTTCCCCCTACATAAAAATCCAAAACAAACATATTCACTTTAGCCCTCCCCCAATCTTAAAATTGCTATCATCTCCCCAACCCACTCAACCAATTAAATACCCCACCGATTTCTCATTCCAGCAAAGATACCCATAGCCACCATGGCTACCAACACATCTGCCTCCCTTCTCTTCCTCCCCCTCCTCATCTTCCTCTTCTTCTCCTCCTCTTCCGCCGCCGCCACCGCAACTCCTGCCGCCTTTCCACGCCATCCGAAGTCTACGCCGGCTATAATTTTTCCTCCCAAAGGGCCTCCGGCAAACCCATTTTGCCCGCGCGACGTGGTCCAGCTGGCTTCTTGCGTCGAGCTTCTTGGAGTGGTTGATGCGGTGGCCGGCGGCCGGCTTTCGAGAAAATGCTGCTCTTTGATCGACGGGTTGGCGGCCGGCGAGGTTGCCGCTTGCCTCTGCACAGTGATAAAGGAGAAAGCGCTTGGTATTGGTGTGGAATGGAATGTGGGCTTGAGCATTGTGGTTAGTTCTTGCAAGAAGGAGGTCCCTGATGGCTTCAAGTGTGTTTGAAGAAATTATCAGAAGTTTTTCTATGTCTGTGAGGTTGTAATGCTACTGTTCATGCTGTGCTAGATGTGTTTTGTTTGTCGTATATGTTGGTTATTAAGAGATAAGCTAGTGTTTGATTTTTTTGCTTGTTAGATGGTCTGAAGAGATTTTATTGCGGTTATTTTACGAGGCTAGAGCCTCACTAATTAGGCTTTGAGATAGATAAAAATTTGGCTTGCTCAACAACGTCAATAGAAAGGAGAGATCATTTTGTGTGGGCGCAGTTCGATTTTGTCTCTTTGAACAGTAAAAATGCAACATGTGTTCATAATGATAAATCGGACGGTACTTCCCGTCCGAATTCTGCACAAAATAATTAATCCAATAGAAGGCCTGAGCCATCAAGTGCTACGAGTAGGTTGACGATAATGTGCAGTCGGGCTAGAGAAATGATTATGATGCTCTTAGGAGAACACAAGATAAAGGCTTCGTTTGAGACAAATTTTTTATTGTTTTTTTAAAACGGAGTTTTAAAATTTTTGTACTAAAACTCTGCTTTAAGAAACAATAAAAAAATCGTCATAAACGAAGTTAAAGTCGGTCCTATGAAAGTAGGGGAGGTTGAAGCTTCCTTGAAATAGCTTTCAACAACTATATTTTTGCTATTTTCCAAAAAAAAAAATGTTAGAATGCTATTGTAGAAAGCAGTAAGGAAATTGTCCTAAATAAAACTTGAATGTACTTATTATGCAAAAAATGAGATATTATTTAGATCAATATCTAAGGTTTTATTTGAGACAATTTTTTACCGCTTTTAACTTTTCAGTACAAGAATTTCTCGTTCAAAAAATTTTGGTGTTAGAAAGCTGCTTCAAAAAACACAGTAATAAAGCTCTACAAAATGAAGCCTTCTTACTGTTTTTTAAAGCAATTTTTTAGTAAAAAAATTTTAAACTAAAGATTTTTTTTTTTTACTATTTCCCAAAAAAAAAAAAAGATTTTTTTACTATAACAGTGTTTTAAAAAATAATAAAAAAAAATGTCACAAAGAAAGCCTAAGTAATGATAAAATATTCATGTGAATTAAATTTTATATAGTTTTATGTAAATAATATAATATTAAATTTATTTCCGAAGAGAGAATCCCGTAGGCCAAACAAACATCGCCAATCGCAACCGTTTCCCTAATTTCCTACCGATCTAACGCCGTTCCCCGCCGGTAGGCACCGTAACGTCGTTTAAATGAGCAAGCAGTCCTCAGCCGTCAGATCGAATGAAATCACGCGATGGCAAAACGGTCATTTCTTCTCTATCCACTTCATAATTGACCGGTAAGAACTAAGAAGCAGATCAAGAAGACTTCAAAAATTAGGTAATATGGAGTTTTTAATATTTATTTTCATTTAACAAATATTACTCATTTAATATTTTTAAAAAGAATATTTAGTTATTTTTTATTGAAGAACACATTAATAAAGAATTTTTTTCTTATAATATACTTATTAAATTTTTAATCATGACGAGATTCACAACCATTAAAACTACTTTAGCATGCGTGCAATGCACATATATTTTATATTGCAATTATCTCAAAATAAATTTATAGGCTATTATCATTCCGAATAAAATTTGATGAGGATAATTTATTTTCATTAATAAATAATGTTTAGTTAGTGTTACGAGTAGGTCGACGATAATGTGCAGTAAGGAAATTTTAAACTTTGATATATACTTTTATATTTATTTATTTGATGGTGAAATAGATGGAGATATTATTAGCAGAATTCAATTTGAGGAATGCATTGGGCTCGTTGTGCGGTATAAAAGTATCTCTCGAACATAAGGAAAAGCTTTATACGACGGTGGTGAGACCTGTAATGCTTTATGGTGCAAAATGTTGGACATTAAAAAAGAAGCATAAAATTTAGTTAAGCGTTCTAGAGATAATGATGCTCAGTTGGGTAAGTGACTTTACTCTTAGAGATATAATGCAAAATGAGTATGGTTGAAGTAGCTCTAGTTGCAGAAAAGATTAGAGAGAGTCGTCTTAGATGATTTGGTCACATAAAATTGATAGATTGAATAGATATGAATGTGAATATTGATATGATTGCTTTAATATTGACTATTGAATTGATTATTGATTGATTATTGATACTGGAACACAAGTGGAACCTGGTTGAACGTTGGTTGGAGATTGAATTGACCTGTACAGGATGGTGGGCCGACGGGCTTTCCTTTAAATATGGATTCTACAACAGCAATATAGATGGGAGTCATAAGGGGTTTATAGATATGCCGACGGGCGGCCGACGGGCAATAGAGTGACGACTCTTTTTATTGAAACCAACGTATGGATATCTACAACAGCAATATGGATTCTACAACAGCAACATAGCCAGTTGATTGTACTTGTTCAGTATTATCGTATTGAATGCATGTTTACTGTATTGACATACGGATTTACTGCTTTATCGATTTCTCTTATTGATTTGATCGGATTTACTGTATTGTAGATTTCATCGATTTCATTGATTGATCATTTGAGCATGAATACTATTGATTATTGACATTGATATAGGATAGGATGGATATAGATATTGTATATAGATTCATTGCTATGGAACTGTATATTATAGATTTTATTGATAGTATTGCCTATAGACTTATTGATACTATTGATTCACATTGTATTGACTTGCTACATATTTGATTTATTGATAGGATAGATTGAATTTATTCGTATTGCTTTTTCCGATTGATTTTATTGACTAGATAGCATAGATTGATTTGATTGATTGATTCTACACGACTGATTTGACGGTATTGATTGATTTTTTCTATGTACGGATTTCTTCGAGATTGACGTGTATTGATTGAGCTTGATTTATCGATTTGCCTGCTGCTGGCATTGACTGGTTTTATTGACTATGGATTTTCGTATTGCATAGACTCATTGACCATTGACTGATATGGATTTGATTGACTGACATGCATATTGATAGCATCACCGTGCTTTGATTTCAGTAGTAGGTTTTGGTGACCTGCTGGGCTATTTAAGCTCATTATATGTGGTTGATATTTTCAGGTCAAGGCAAGGAGCAGGAGATAGAGATTGATTCGGATCTACAGGTTTTAGTATTTTTTTTTGATGATTTTGATTTCTTTTGTACTCAGGACAGGATAGATTTCAGTACTTGTGGTTATAGTGTAGTTTCCTGAGTATTGTATATGAACTTTTGAGATATGAATCGACTTGTTATTGATATTTTAAATTATAGACTTTTTATTATATTGTGATTGAATGGAGTTTTTAGATGACTCTGGTAAATGGTCGGAATGTATCGAAATTCTTTCCAAGTTAGATCTCGGGGCATGACACGGAGGCCTCTCCGGCTTCATCGGGGAGGAGAAGCCTAGGAGAGGGGTGATAAAATCAATACCTAGGATTACGTTATTAGCAACAACATAATTCCATGAGGTGCAGACATTGAATAAGCGAATGAAGTCAACGATGGACAATTGCGATGAAATGCTACATAGGAGATCTTTTGGGAGATCGGACCATGCCATTTGTGTTTTATTTCTTCAAGCCTTGAAGCCCTTTTATATATAAAGAGAGATATACCTAAATATAGGTGATGATGGTTTTGAAATTTCTAAATATAGCGGAGAAACATGATCTTGAGTTTTTTAAGAAATAAATAGAAATTATCTAAAATAGAATTGGATCAGAGAAAAATCGGAGGAAAAGGTAATTTATATTAAAAAGTAAATTTTCTTCTTATATACCCGAGATCCTTCTCCAAATGATGCCATCTTCTTTGTCCAAATATAGTGCA